ACATCGAATCAGAGAAAGATTATGTAGAGGAAGAGAAACAGACTTATATATATATATATAAATCCATATTACATATAAATGTAGAAATAAAAACCAAGCGAAGCTGGTACTTGCAGCTAGTTTTTCATAATTTGGTGCTAGTTTTACGCTTATTTTTTCAATTCTTCATCTATTTTTTCCTTTAGACCTCTTATATACGGAAAATTAATATATCTGATGTTGTCGTTTGTTTTTATTCTTTCATATTTCTTATCGCTTAGCTTTTTTTCTCGTAGGTTTTAATTATTCTGTTGGGGTAGCTATTTAACATAAACTTCCTTTTTAGTTCGCTTCTATTTTTATTTATTTCCGTGATTCTACTGGTTCTTGTTTTAATTTTTATATATTCATGTTAAAAATATTCATTTTTATATACGTAAGTATGTTAGAAGTGTAACGAATTGTTTTATTTATAGAACATTGTTTTTTGAAAGGAGTAAAGGTTATACTATTATTGTTTTTTTTAATTGTTACTTTAATATTCAGATTAATTACTTGTAACGATACTCTCATATTATATAGATATGTTTATAATTATAGGAAATTAATTATGGAATTGGAAAATAAAGAAATTAAAATTGAAACCATTTTATTATTATAGGTAAATGTCAAGGTTGCAATTTTTATAATTTTGGATTTAAAAACTGTTTAACAAATTTAAAGTAAATTATTTAAATGCAGCAAAAGTAAATGAGTGCTCACAGCACTTCAATAATAAAAATTTTGTAAATATAAGTAACGTTTCAGAATTTCTAATTAGCTTAAATTTTGCCCATCTCAGGTTTGCTATCTACACTGTCCGGAAGGAATTCATGACGGCTTTCTGCTGGATCTGGCTTTTCATTTGCTTTAATGTTCTCTTTTTTTTTTCGGGACCCGCAACCTTCATATCATTGTTATCTATAACTTTTGGTACAGCTTTAAAATACTCTTCTGTTTTCTTTTGTGAACTCAGTCTCTTGGAATTTTCGAAATCGGTTTGTAATTTTGTAAACGTTGCAAAAATTTTCTGTAATAAAGATTTTATTTGTGAATGAAATATATTTTACATATGAAAACAATTTGTTTACTAAAGACGAAGATACTATTAAATTGAATTAAAGTAATAAGGAAATGCTACACATGGGCGAACTACAATTAGGTTGCCTCCAGAGAGAACTTTCTATTCGAATATTAGCTGTTTGACACTGAAGTAAACGCAATGTCCAATAGCTAAGATTGCAATAGAAAGTTTTTCCTGTAAGTATTTTAGTATGTTGTGGTCTCTTATTCGTCCACATGTATTGCTATCTTTTCTGTTTCATTTACTGGTTTTGAAATGAGTGATTATCATCTTGTATGTAAACGTTTTTTTAATCCATGTTAAGACAGAAATTAATCGGAGAACAAACTTAAAACTCTGCAATATTCCATTGTATATTTTACGTAAAACTTTTTTTTTTCTTCTAACAGTGAGTCTTGGAAAATGTTTGTTGTCGCCTCTTGTATCAAATTATATTCGTTTTGAATAAAATTATGCGAAAGACAATAAGGAAACATTTCAAAGTGTATAACCTTATATTGCTGTTGATTCAATTTATTACATGAGTTATATTAGATACATCTTTAACTAATTATGCTGGATATCACATAAAATGCTTTTTCAATATAATTTATTAAATTTTTGTGGTTGTCGTGAAATGATGTATTTGCTTACTTAAATGTATATAAATTCGCTTTATAATTGACGAAGTTATAAATGTAATCCATCGTTATTTTTTCTTAGTATATATATTTTTATTAAGGCTGTATTTTTGTCTCGAACAGCGATATATTAATATTGTTGTTTGAATTGCTCTTATGTTAATATTTTATATTTTGAGCTAGTTGTAGTTTCTTTCGTTAATATCAACAGAAATAATTCCATATGTAATCTATGTGGATTAGAACTGTGTCCCCCGCAAGTATTCGCGCTAGTAATTTACTTTTTGGCTGTAATTCTGAGTACGATTTTCTTTCGTATTGGTATAATAATATAAAATGTACTTAAAATTAAAAAAATATCTAGTGCAAATAAACATATTGTAAAAATAAAATCGAGTAAAAATAGAAACCATCTTTCCAGGTCTAACAAGCACCTCCATGATCATAATGTGAAAATGATGACAATTTTCCTAATATACATAAACTTTTAAAATTAAAGAAATAATCTAATTATATTTGACAGTTACTAAATGGGTATGAATATTTTATTATTAATAGCCATAGTCATTATATTCAAGACAAGTATTTTTACTACGTAAGTGAAAATAACTGTGAGACAGTAATTATACTTTTAAACTGTTGAAATAATATACTCAACTCTTATTTTAGCATTACTCTGGCTGGTGACGTGGTAAATAATATGCTATACTTTTTACATTGTTTAGAACCCATACGAAATATTAAAACCTATGTATATTATTGCACACAGTTATTCTCAAATAATTTTTAAAATTACTTTGAGAATCAGACTACCGTGTTCCGCAAATACCAAAACCCGATAATTGTAGAGTTGTTGGTAGTAATAAAACAAAAATTTAATATTCACTAAAAATTAATGATAATTTTTAGTGAATATTACTGATAAAACTTATCCATATTGAAAACATAATAAAATTAATTTTTCAGTACATACCTCGAAAAATAAATCATGCAAAATTATGTCTTGGTACAAGATAAAGAATTCTCTGTATGTTCTGAATTCTTCGTGTTTTAATGATTTACCTGAACGAGTTTCGTTACCTGGATTTGCATGCACATCCCTCATGTGCTTTCGTAACTCTTCTCTCGTATCAAAAGTTCTGTTGCAGTATCTGCATCGAAATGGTGCGTTTTTCAAACTTCGACTCCAGATCTCAATAATGTGGATATTGTTTTTCAGATTGTATCCACAGAGAATGAGTTCTCTCCGATAAAAATTAGAATTTTTTAAATGCATTTTGTTCAGGTTCTTTTTGTCACACCAAGACAAAACGTTTCTGAATAGGAAACTGTAACGTTGCTCTTAACAATTGCACAATTATTTTATTGTTTCTCTATAATACCGAGAGTTAACGAATTATTACTCGGTGTACTCAGTGTATTGTTTTTTTAATCAGATATAAAATATTTTTATTAATTTTTTTTATTTTTGTATTTAGGAGAAAAGAAAACATAATGATAGAGTTAAGGTTTTGGGAGTTGTAAAATAGTAAACGATATGCAGATATTTAAAAATAAACGACTTATTTTTTAATATTTGTAAATAAGCAGGCACGTGATGGAAGTTGTTAAACTTAACATCTGAGAATCTTTTTATGATTTGTTTAAATACAAAAACTCATGTAAAACTTCGATAACAATTAGGTTCTTATGATAATAAAGAGCTTACAATTTTCCAATAAACTGTACAAACTATGTACAAGTTAGCAATGCAGGGTTTAGTATAGCTACGAACAAATAAAAATGATTCTGATGGTCAGAAAACAAATTAATTCATTTCATATTGTTTCTTATAAAAAATTTGTTTGACATTAAAACCAATTGGTTTTACAAAAACTTTTAGTAAAGAGTTATGTTAAACTATCAAGGTTTTACTGTACATTAAATAACTTTTTGTAAATATTTTGAATTATTTATGTCAGCTGAGAATACAATGTATATAATAATAATGCAAGTAGAAGTAGACTTTTCTGTTCACAAAGCTTATTTATTACGTTATTACATATAATCTGTAAATGTTCACATGAAAATACAATTTTAAAATATTCATAACCTTGCATTTGATCGTTCATTTGATCAAACTGATCGTGCTACTTGTTACCAGTTATACCGTTATTTTATTATCTTATACATATATACTTATAGTAATTCGCTCTTTTCTAATGTGCAGAAAATATATAATAAAATACTATTTGAGTTAATTATATAATTAACTAAATTCACAGCACAACGTGAAAAACTGTGATGCAATTATATTCTTCATAACAATAGAAAGAAAAAGAAAAAGCAGCAATGAAACTGACCTTTTACATTTATGTCAACACAAAACCTATATATATCAAGCAATCTATTAGTGGCAATGTTTGAATCGTACTCGACCAAAATTAACAATTCGAAATTCATAAGAAAACAATAGAAATATCAATGTGTCTACGTGCAAAAACTTTAATTTTGTAGAAAAATACAAATCGGATTAATACAAAATAACAGTTTGTTCTTTCAAAAAAATATACTTCACATAAAAATAGAAATGTGAACGATAAACTACATAAAGATTTCATTGCCATGAAGTATACAAATAAGCAAAACGAAAACTTATCTGTTTTGTGTAATATGCTGCATAGTGTTACAGTATTCATCAACGAGACAAGTAGTATATGATTTATTGTTTCTGTAGTTAGAGATTGCAGGAATGGTTTTAACTTACATTAACTACAGACTCCGAAAGAATTATAGTCAAAAACCGCAACAAAAAGAACTGATCCAACAGTGTAACAGTCTAACCATAGTTTTCGTTTTACTTCTTGAAAGTTTTCTTATTTCATTATCTCTTAGCGTATATACAATAGTAAATAGTACATGCTTGCATTTTGCAGAAAATGAATTGAAAAGATCGTATACACGTTGATTGATCGTATACACAATGATTGATTTACAATATAGTAATTCGTATGTCATTATTATATTAATTAATTAACATTTAAAAATACGTTCGTCAATATAATGCTTTTTATCGTAATTGTAAATGTAAATGCACATGTTAAGCAAACAAGAAAGTGAATTATCCACTTTCTTGTTTACTTATCGTTTGCATTTACGTTTATCTTTCATAAGGAATATTGAAAGAGATAGAAGATTTTAACATTAAATACAATTGAAAACTCTGAATATATTTCATAATAAATAGATAAGTTTAAACGTTTTTAAAATTCTTGTTTGCTTTTAGTTTATTCATTATTGTGAGGTTATACTTCTAAATTATATGATAGTAGACGATTGCAGCGGTCTTTTAATAACTTGGAGTTAACAGCTATTTCGGTCAAACACAGCAGTACATCGCTTTCCAGCAAACAATTCTAAAATAAAGCAGATAACGGCTAATAAGTACCCTCCGCCGAGAAGAATGAAAGCTCCTAAGAAGTGTCGTAAATTCAATGCTTCAATTTTCGTTTCCATGTTTTCATTTTTATATCTTATTGGGAGTCGAAATCTACTGATTATTCCTGACTCAAACGATCGAGTAACTCTGCGGTGAAAAGAAAAGTAATATATATTTGTTTTTCTATTATTGTAAATAACTTATGAAGTAATAATTTACTATAGATCGGCATATATGAAATACATATCACCATGCAGAAACGTGTTTTAGATGTCCATTCGATTGTATATATGATTTACAGTGATATGCCTGTCATATATTATATCTTAAATTTTTACTAGTATAGTTTCGTATAAAACAGTTAAAGCAAACATTTTAAATAAATTCAAATTTACACTTACATGGCATCAAATTTCTTTTTCAGTGGAAACCCCTTTCTCATAGCATATCCAAATGGAACAATTGCAATTGAGTCGTCAGAAATGAAAAATAGATCGTCGGCAAGACTCATCCAGGCACGTACATATCTCTGATTGAAAATAACTGCATTTCGTCCTTTTCTCAGAGTTGGCAAAAAAGTGTCCCAATTCACAAAATTGTTGTTGGTTACGATGTGATCTCTTATATCTTTAACAATACCTGTTTTTGCTCGCTATAAAATTACAATAAACAATTTAAGTTATTAAACATTATTCCGAATTTTATTGTTAATATCAAATATATCGTTAATTAATTACTAACAAATATATAAAAATTTACCGTTATTATTCTGTAAACAACAAACTTTTCATAAGTATACAAAGAAACCTCTCCTTTCTTCATATAATCAACTAATTCCACGAATGTTCTGGGTACGGGCAATTCTCTTGGAGCAGTCAAGTGAGAAATTAATGTTCCGCTATAACTGAAGGTTAATATCAGAATTGTGATACCACAAGTTCCAATCGCAATTCTTGCAAATATTCTTTTTATATAGCTTATTTCAAATCCTGCAAGTTAAAAACATGAATGGGATGTTTGAAATTATTACGTAAATGTATGTTAATTTTTAATACCTTGATTAACGAAAGAAGAAAATATAAACCAGAAACTTGTCTTCATTGTCCAACGGCGTGAAATTTCTCTTTTGTTTAATTCGTAATTTATTATGGGTGGAAGAATTAATGTAACGAAAATCACGATAGCTGCTGTTGTTAACCAAACCTTTCATTAAAAGAGTAATAAAAATAATTCATCATAATTAAAACACTTACAGTTTCCTAGCATTTGTAGGAAAGATTTTTTAAATTTTCTGATTAAATAAAACTGAGTTAATAAAGATCTCATTATAAGACTTTCATAAAATCAAATACGAAATTTAATGCTATGGTAATGTATTTATAATTTCATGGCTAAACGTCTCTTTTAATTTATTTAAGATTAAGAAGATTGTTAAAGTTTTAATACAAAAAGTAACGCTGTCAGTTTCCTTTTCTATTTGAAAAGAAATAGAAAAAAAATAATAATGTAACAACGAAAATAACATAAGTACAGGTAAAATACTAACTTCAATTGACAAAGGTTTGAAAATTGCATTCCATCCTGGCTTTATTTGTATACGTTTCATAACAAAGCTTATAGAATTTATTCCGATAATAGGAGTGTAGTCTACAAAATCTATTATTTCACTTGAATATGAAGCATAAAAAGGATATATATCTGCTGTCTATAAAAAAAACCAAAACAATTTTATAATTAAATATTATATAATTTCTGAATGTGTAAATAAAATTATGGCATTATGTAATTTAACGTTAACTTTTTACTATTTTTTACGTTAGTTTAACAGTAAATAAATTATTATACTATTTCTTACTTTGTTAGCTAACTGTCCGAGAATTCCAGTAGGTGATACATTTGTATACGATGTTGGAGGGAAATCCAGCATTGGTTCTATTATTTTATATCTGGAAACGTATTGTTATAATAAGATATTGTAGATTTTTATAAAGTATTTACGTCAGAATTCGTAAATAAACGAGTTACACAACAGAAAACTAAAAAATTCACAATTTTCTAACAGTGTTTTAATAAATATAAATTATTTTATTTTTTACTATAAATAGAACTTAATTATTTTTCGTAAAATTATAAATAAAATTTATTTCGTTGTAATTATTTATAGTAGTTTCAATAGCGTAGATATTTTTCTGTCTAGTTCATTTATTTACTTCAGGCATTATATTCATTTTTGTTTACATAGTGACTTCGTACATCTTAAAAATATGCCTATAATAATATAATACCAATAAAAAAAAACTAATAAAAAATTAAAAAAATAAATGAATAAATAACTGAATGAAATCCGTGTGCAGCCACTCCCATATTGTGTATAAACGCTCAGGTCCATACTTCGAAGGAGTGAGGAAGCGTCGATATGACCCCAAATTAACGTCATTTTGCTGCACATGAAACGAACTCAACATGCTACACACAACGAGAAATAATTGTGACATAGTCACAATGCTCCGCTGAAATTTTTGATCATATCTTTAATTTATTTTATTAAAATATATGTTCACTGCCTCAAATTAGTAGTTACTTATCCTTGTAAATTATACTTTTCCTGTAACAATGGAGTCGAGCCAGTCATACATTAATTGTGTCCAGGAAAAAGATTTAAATTGAATTAACGTCAATTTAGGTTTATATTGGACTATACTGTTATATTGGATATTTATTTTCAAATTTTATGTACCTGACACTATTTTCAAGATTGAAAGAAGACAGATGACAGACAGCTGAATGGATAACAGTGAGAATTTATAAATTTACAATTTTTATATTGACATATTTTTACATAAATACTAAAATTTAGTATTTATTTTCATATAAATAAAAATATGAAAGTAATTAGTAAGCCAGAATTACACATTAAAGACAATTTACAGTAAACTGAAGTTTAATTTGTGGCAGTAAAAAAAATGAGTGTATCTTTCGTACAGATTTGATCGATGAGCAGATGAAACTTTGAATATCTAGCTAAAGCTATAAGTGAGATTAAGTTTATAGATTCAAAAACAATTCAATCGATATCGCGTACTATAATAATTCAACAATATATTTCTTCTATTTAAACTTACCTAAACTTCAACCTTTGGTAAATCATGTAGAAAAGTCTAAAGTCTGGAATGATTTTATCGTGCGGAGTATTTTTATACCTAGATTGCTAGTTAAAAAACATGTATGTATGTATATATGTTAGTACAATACAGAGAATATATATTAAAAATTCTAAAAATAAAATTTTCATACCACTGCTATCTTCACTACGTAAGAGTTTTCATTTTCTGTTAAAATGAATTGATAACTTTTATTATTTTATATTTATTTCAGGAAAATTAAACAATTTCAATCTTAATAATATAAATACAGTATCTATTAAAGTCAGATTATTAATACAAATAACAACAGAGGCGGATCTAAGTTTTTCGGGGTCTAGAGCTTATTGAAGTCTAATGGGGCCCCATTTTTATTAGATTAAGCATCTTTCAATTAGTGTTTAAAATTTATTTTTAATAACATCAGAATCAGAGTTGAAAAATATTTTTTTATAAAATGGTGTTAGATAATAAACTTTATATCCATGAATGCTTATTGTTAATAAAAAAAGGTTTAAAAATTTATGATGATAATTTAATTTTTGTGGTTCCTTGACACTTGGGGCCCAGGGCTTAAGCTATGTTAGTTCCTATGTACCCCTGAGTACCAATATCAAACAGTAAAGAATCGATATGGAGTTACATAAAACATCAAAATTCTAATAACATTTATCAGTAATTTTTTATGTCAACAACAAAATATATTATTTTAATAATTTGTCAAATAAAATTCGTACAAAAGATGATTGTATCCTACTCACCTTCGTCTACGATGCCTTCTGAAACTGAACAAAGGTAAATTATTAGCAAAGTACAGAATATTTTGGTTTTCATCTTATGTTTTCTATTTCATTTTGTTAAATGGATTTTAACAATGTTTATCATGTCATTCCTATTTGCATGAAAACAATAACTATTGCATATAAATTATTTTTGTTTTCTGTAAACATGAAACATTATTAATTAATCTGCTTGAGATTTTATTATATTTTTCATTTCTAAGATTGTATTTACTGTAGACTTGTGGAAGCCAAACTGCCTACAGTCTATCTTGACTATTATCTCCTGCTTAGTATATATTGTGAACACAGTTCTTGACGCTCCATTCTTTTCAGAATAATATTAATATTATTCTAAAAATAGTAAAATATTATCTCTATAATATTATCAGTTTTTAAAATAAAAAGTTCAGAAAAGGACTGAAATTCAGAAAACAAAAATTAATTAACTAATGCAAAAGAGGTTATGTATACAATTGTAGATGTCTCATGTTCTTCTTCTGTCAAGTGTTTATTGGAACATGAGATTGTTGTCCGAACATAAAAAACTTTCTCGAAAGTGTTCGTTGTCTGCTTTTTTTGTTAACCGATCACCAACTGCACTATAAAAGTTTTCTCGTATTCTAATACAGTAGAGTCTCGAAAACTCGGTTTAATGTGAACCGAAGGGTGGCCGAGTTTGTGAAAATGCCGGGTGATCGGGAATGGGATTAAAAAAATAAGTATGAGTGTTTCCTTAGAAAATACTGTACTGTACTTGTATGTATTGTTTACTTGAGAATACAACAGAGAATAAACTGCCCAAATACCCTTAAACAAAGGAAAAGTACGTCCTTTATAAAGGCATAGAGCCTTTAATACATGAAAATGAAAATTAATGAATACACTGTGTACAGTAATTTACCTGATGAGACAGACCTGAGAAAAATACTTTATGAGGCATAAAGCTGTCTATAATGAAAATTAGTTAACTAAGGATTTTTGTTCTGCTAGGGTGTGGCCGAGTTATCCGGACTGCCGGGTTATCGAGTGCCGAGTTTTCGAGACGCTACTGTACCATAAAGTGAATCATATTAGCGGTGACGAGTTTAACAAATGAAGAAGAAACCGGAAGTAACTTGCTACAACTAAGCAATTAATGGCTGATGTTTATTGATTAATTTAAAATTGATTCTTACCATAGACATATTATAAACTGATTTTTCGTAATCTAACCGAATTTTCAAGATTACGAAATTTTTGAAATAAAGGTGAAGTTTGCGTAGAATAAAGCCTAGGAGTTTTGATGAACCAGTTAAATTGAAAAATCACTTTATTGAATTACATTATCAAAAACACTTGAAAAAAGATTTAATATTCTTATATACGAAAATATCTTTAAAATGTACTAAACATCAGAAATTATTTTGCACTTCTTTGTGATAAAAGTAATATTTTGAATGATTTTGAGATAAAATTTGTATAAAAGATATCAATATTTTACTTGCCTTGTTCTTTGATGCCTTTTGAGACAGAAAAAAAGGAAATTATTACTACCCCATACAATAGTTTATTCATCATCTTTGCTTCTTTATTTCACTATCACGAATGGTTCTAAGCTTTATAAATTAAAAATTTCACAGGATATTAATTTCTGTTTCTATAACAGCAGTAAATATTGAATATCATTATATATATTTTTTTTTAAACATAGTACAGTTTTCATTTTCTGTTAAAATGAATTGATAACTTTTATTATTTTATATTTATTTCAGGAAAATTAAACAATTTCAATCTTAATAATATAAATACAGTATCTATTAAAGTCAGATTATTAATACAAATAACAACAGAGGCGGATCTAAGTTTTTCGGGGTCTAGAGCTTATTGAAGTCTAATGGGGCCCCATTTTTATTAGATTAAGCATCTTTCAATTAGTGTTTAAAATTTATTTTTAATAACATCAGAATCAGAGTTGAAAAATATTTTTTTATAAAATGGTGTTAGATAATAAACTTTATATCCATGAATGCTTATTGTTAATAAAAAAAGGTTTAAAAATTTATGATGATAATTTAATTTTTGTGGTTCCTTGACACTTGGGGCCCAGGGCTTAAGCTATGTTAGTTCCTATGTACCCCTGAGTACCAATATCAAACAGTAAAGAATCGATATGGAGTTACATAAAACATCAAAATTCTAATAACATTTATCAGTAATTTTTTATGTCAACAACAAAATATATTATTTTAATAATTTGTCAAATAAAATTCGTACAAAAGATGATTGTATCCTACTCACCTTCGTCTACGATGCCTTCTGAAACTGAACAAAGGTAAATTATTAGCAAAGTACAGAATATTTTGGTTTTCATCTTATGTTTTCTATTTCATTTTGTTAAATGGATTTTAACAATGTTTATCATGTCATTCCTATTTGCATGAAAACAATAACTATTGCATATAAATTATTTTTGTTTTCTGTAAACATGAAACATTATTAATTAATCTGCTTGAGATTTTATTATATTTTTCATTTCTAAGATTGTATTTACTGTAGACTTGTGGAAGCCAAACTGCCTACAGTCTATCTTGACTATTATCTCCTGCTTAGTATATATTGTGAACACAGTTCTTGACGCTCCATTCTTTTCAGAATAATATTAATATTATTCTAAAAATAGTAAAATATTATCTCTATAATATTATCAGTTTTTAAAATAAAAAGTTCAGAAAAGGACTGAAATTCAGAAAACAAAAATTAATTAACTAATGCAAAAGAGGTTATGTATACAATTGTAGATGTCTCATGTTCTTCTTCTGTCAAGTGTTTATTGGAACATGAGATTGTTGTCCGAACATAAAAAACTTTCTCGAAAGTGTTCGTTGTCTGCTTTTTTTGTTAACCGATCACCAACTGCACTATAAAAGTTTTCTCGTATTCTAATACAGTAGAGTCTCGAAAACTCGGTTTAATGTGAACCGAAGGGTGGCCGAGTTTGTGAAAATGCCGGGTGATCGGGAATGGGATTAAAAAAATAAGTATGAATGTTTCCTTAGAAAATACTGTACTGTACTTGTATGTATTGTTTACTTGAGAATACAACAGAGAATAAACTGCCCAAATACCCTTAAACAAAGGAAAAGTNATCAAAAACGTAAAATATTTGAGTAGTTCAAGACATAGCCAAAGATTGAAGTGCCACAGCACTGGAGAAAATTTAAATTTGCCGACTGGAATTATTTCGGGTGATTGACTTTTGGAAAATCGGCGCTCTACTGTAATTCACAAATAGTGAAAGATAACGTACACAAATGCGTTATGTTTATATTGTTATTTTTTAAAAATGTAATCATTTATAAAACATACATGTGGCTTTATTCTCTTTGCTTCTTAATTGATTAACAAATTAATAAATAAAATGTGAAATGTTAATTCTTAATGTAAAATAATAATACGAGAGCTGTTTTGAAGAACTGCTTTTATTTTTTATATAATAAATTAATGGAATGAGAAATGATTGTGATCTTGTATAAAAATTCGTTTGGATGTACCAAATGGAACATCTACCAAGTTTCGATTTATGTAAAAGTCTGTATAGAAATTGTACTTTATTATTATATGCATGAAGGATGAATACTCTCTCCATATACTGCGCACGTTTCCTACAAATTTGAGAGAAAAATATAAGGATGCGCATTATACGTGAGTCGCAATAATTGGCAATTCACCTGAATGAGCTGCATTATTCACAGATTTTGCACTATGTTTCGCAAGAAGGATTGGCTTCTGTTACATTAAATTCTTCGCTGTTAAACTCATAGCTTTCTAATCACGTATACTCGTACGGTCTTTTTAGTAGATTCACACTATAGATGAAAACTTTACAGTGTTTTATGGTAATAGAAATACAAAAATTACTATTGCAATTTTGTTTTTAGTAAGCACAAAAAAACAGAAACTCTTATTAGAGAATGTCCGGAAGCGTACAAAAGACAATAGTATGACAGGAACACGTATCTACAAGCTAGTCCTGTCCACGAGTCAACTAAAACAGCCCTGAAAAGTGTTCAAGTTGATTCGTGAAAGAGCTTAAAAGAGGGGAGGCCGGATTGGAAATATACACGAAAAATACATATTTTTCAAATGAAAGGTTTCAAATACAAATGTATTAGAATAATAATTAGACGGTACTTCAAGGAATTTAGGGGACTAACCTAGTCTTGTATATTCTCAGTCGCTACTCCTTACAGGGTCACATTTTCTATTAGTTAAGAATAAAATTCATTGTTTTATTACTATAATTTTATTATGGTGTAATATTTAAATTTGAATAATTAAATATTATTTACTTACAAAGTAATATTCCTTTGTAGATATAAAGATTACAAGAATTTACTTCACAAACATTTTTGAATCGCT